AAAAGAATACCTGATGATCCTGCTATGAATATTCTTGTTCAGGTACTTGCTGTTATGAGGTGACAACTGTGTCCTAATTGTGCTTGTGCATTGTCATCATGTCACATGCAACTCTCCTGAAGTCTATGAGTGCCTGTGTCAACACCTATTGCATAGGCATAGTTAACTGTTGTCACTATAAAGATGCCAGTGGAGCACAATGACGTGCAGCCAGCTCTGGAGTTAGAGAATGCAGACAGGAAGTGGCTAAAAAAGGTCTCAGGAGGTTTATCACACTGATATAAAATGAAGGGTGAAAAAAGAGCAAAAACAGTATTTAAGAAAAAAAAAAAAACGCACTGGTTTATGAAACACAGTGTTTTAGCATTCTAAATGCCTTCCATATATGGTTTAGATCTACTTTCTTTTTTTTTTTCTATTGAAGAACTCAGGAATGATGAAACAGTCTAGTTATATTTGTGCTACAGGAGGTTTGAACATTGCCAAACAGAAAAAAATGTTGAAGGCCAGCCCTGCCATGCCTCAGTTTTTGTACATGTGTTCTAGAAGACAGCAAGCTTTTTCTCAGCTCTGCTAAAAAAAAAGTCTTACTTTATTTTTTGTCCTTATTTTAATTTCTCTTTAATCAAAATACTTGGTACACTGAAGATATTTTTCTCATCAGTCAAGGATACTGCCTGAGCTAGCCTCTACAAAGTAGCTATCGGAACCTGAGTATCCTCATCGACAGCTTTGGAAGTTGTACCTACTGGGCTGGTAAATTGTGGAATGTGACCTTGGGGCACTGGACTTTGCATTGTAGCGCTTTCTAGACCTTTATGTACTGTGTTAACTAGCTGCAAAGCGCTTTCCAGTTCCAGAGCCATGGAACAGCCTCTAGTGTAATCCTGTCTCTAAAGTCTCATTCAGTGAGTAAGGCCAGTCGAGTTGAAGCACGGGTGCTACCTCACAGTTGGCACTGGTAGGCATTATATTTAAATTTCCTTCTGTTTTTACCACTATCTAGATTTCAGTTGGGGATCTGAAACCACGGGGGAAGCTACCCCAGTTATCATTTCTAATTCAAGCTCAAAATGCCAATGTCAGAAGAGGCTCCTGCAATTGAGGTCACTGCAATCTCCTGCAATTGACTAAGATGCATGGGGGTTGTTTTAAAACTTACTGATGAAGTGCATATCACGTGCTGTTGTAGGCCTTAGATCTTTGAACCTTGTAGGTCTTAGACCTTAGAACTTCTACAGCTGCACCTGCAGTTTGACAGCTTAAGGACTTCCTTTACACAGAATGGAAACACCTGGAAGGCTTCTGGGCCTATGCCAGAACTTTTCCTGTTTGATAAGGGATTGTTTTCTTTTCTGCCAACTTCTGCAAGTCTCCACATGTCAGAGCCTTATAAATGTCTAGTGCTAGTAACTATTGTTCACCAACAAGTGAGGCTGACCAGCCTAAATCCTCACTAAAGCACTCTGCACCCCCTGGGCTTGTGAATGTTAAAGCCATTATACTCCCTACTCCTTCTCATGTAGGATTCAATGGGCACTAGGAGCTTGCCTCTCTTTCTCTTGATTAACTTCTGTCTTCCCTAGTCTCCCCCTTGGTGTCTGGGAGTCTGGATGTGAGGTAAGATATGCAGGAAGTCCTTATGCATCTAGTGTTCCCTGATTTGAACCCTCAATCTCTTAGGGTCTGTGGAGTGGTTCTTTTTCCCCATCATGGGAGGACTTCTGCCTTAAATCTGTCCTCATGTCTGGAAATCTGTTTTTCCTGGGCAATCAGTACCTGTTTCTCAGGAGATCCCACTGTAAGTATGTCCATTGACCTTGACTTCACTGGACATCACTTTGGAGCTGTGAGGCCAGTTCCAGGAAGGATTGGTAATTCTCCCAGTAACAGAGCAAGTGACCTGCCCCCTGTTCTGGATGATGTTGAGGCTCTTTGGAGGCACTCTTTTTGCCCTTTGGGCCTCTGCATCCTGTAGCCTCCATTCTGGGGACAGGAATTTGTGCACTCAAGTGTGCTTTCTCTCCTGCACAGTAGGAAGAATCTATCATTGGAGGGCTTGGTGTTCCCTTGGAAGGTAAGCAGACAGTTCATGTTGCAACCCTAATGCAGACAGTCACCATGGGAAACAGCATGCATTTCAGGTTCTTCTTGGAATATGGTTATTTGGAGTCAGTACTTCCTCTGTGGCTAATGTGTAGCCTCTAGGGGAAGTCCCTAAAAACAATCTTCCCTACTCCTGTCCTTAATCATCTGATCGTTCTTAGCTCTTTGGATAGGTTTACTGCCCCTTGCTCCATGTCTATGAACACTTTGGTTGATTGGGAGGGTCAGAGGACTTGTAGTTTCATACACTGAATCAGACAGGCAGGTCCTGCAGGGGGGTCCCTGTCAGGTTGTAATGATACTGCTTGGTGTCCTTGTGAACAGGTTTATACTTCCTTCTGTTTTTTCTGGAATGTGGTGGTAGTCTTTCGACTCCAACCTTTTTATGGGGGTTACCCTAATTCCTCTTGTTCTTCAACCTCTGTGACTTACAGTAGTTTCTTTGGGGTTTTCTACAACTCCTAAAATCCTTGACCATTCCCCTTGGGGTATAATGCTAGATAGCTATCTATCTTTATTATCTCGTACAAGATCGTGTGGCTGTCCTAGTCTTTGGAGCCTTCCTTCCCTGAAGCCTAAAGATGGAAGTTTAAGGCTTAGGCCTTTTGTAATTCTCAGACTGGCTGATCTTACTCAGTGGACCTGTTGTCCAATTTTCCCTTAGGGATCTATTTTAAGGCTGATAACCCTCCCAGGGTATCCTTTTCTTAGCCTTATTGTTCCAACCATCCCATTCGGGTAGTTATATTGCCTCACCTGTTTGTGGTTGCTGCTGCTGCAGGCTCAGCGTCCTTTGAAGTAGTAATTCCTTTTGATGAGATTCTTATCCTTTTTTGAGCATCCTATTTATCTGCTTTAACCTTATGGGTGACCCTGGTAGTTATCATTTCTCCTGTCTGGTAGAGAAATGCACCTTTTCTGGTTCAGATTTGGATGTTGATTCTTCCATTTGTTGCAGACAGTTCTTGGTTTATCTTACAATATAGATCCATTAGTGGTTGTTACTCACCCCTAAGTTGCACACAGGTCCAAGCTCTCTATGTTTTTTGGTCTTAGATACTGCTTGCATACTAAACTGAGGCATTACTGTTTGAGGTAAGGTTATATGGGGGCTGACCTTCAACATTTTTTTCTTTTTGTCAGGGAGCCAACTTCCTGCATGGGGCACTATAACCCAACTGTTTCAAAATCTCTGTGTCCCTCAATGCTTATTTTTAATCTTTTGTGACACCACTCAATCTTTGCAAGTGCTGTGCCCAATGAAAACATTTTTGCAATGATGAAGCACAAATTGAATCAAAGAGGGTTGGCCTGAAAAGGGGGCTAATAAGCACTTCTGGGCATCATAAATATACCACATAAAGGAGAACATTTCTGTGGGAGAATGTCCCAGTTGTTTCTTTTTCACTGGGGTAGATTTACTAAAACTAGACTACTCAGAATCTGGTTCAGCTTCTAACATCAGCTTGTTCAATTAAACATTGACGATAACACCTGGAAGCTGGTTGGCTTCTATGCAGAGCTGTACCAGGTGGAATCTCCAAGGTCTCAGCCAGCAGATGGTGCTGTGCATATGCAGCATAGATGGTGAAGTCTGGCAGAGTCTCCAATATGTCCGGGATCAGCACATGTGGCATCTGACGTCATCAAAATGTGACAAATTTCTGAGCCTGTGCAGGACGAGATGAGTCCAGGCATGCTCTTTCATCAGGCAGGGAGGAGCTGGGGGTGAAGGAGCCTTTTGTAGAGCAAGGGGCGGATGATGGACAGGGCCAGGGGCGGGGAAAGAAGGAGGAAACTGTCACAGAGCACCAGACAAGCTGCTCAGAAACGCGTCACATTTTGATGACGTCAGACACCACATGTGCTGATCCCGAACATCTTGGAGACTCTGCCAAGCTCCACCATCCATGCTGCATATGCACGGCACCATCTTCTGGCAGACACCTTGGAGATTCCACCAGGCTTACCATCCATGTTGCACATGCACAGCACCACCTGCTGGCGGACTCAATCGATCTCCTCTCTGGATCAGACACACAACTACATCTGGCTACAGACGTCTCACCCTCTTACCCATAAGCCTGTTTTTAAATTCTAAGATGTGAGATACTACTTATCTTTCTATTAAATACCTTCACAGTACACACTTAGAGGCACTGTGTTTCTTTGTTTGCAAACCAGATAAAAATGATAGATACTAGTTAGCTGATCTCTGGTTAGATTTTAAAGTTTTCTGCTATTTCATATTATGTCCCATTACCAACAGGCCTATATAACTATATTGTTTAGTAGTTATGTCATTAATAGAAAGCACTTTACATTTTTTTAAAGTGGAGGATGTACAGATACAACTATTTCATGTTTGCTTTTCTTTGTGTCTGGCAGGTGCAGATCATTGTCAGGAACGGGTTGAAAAAAGAAAAAAAAATCAAAAAGGCCGGTGGAATAAATGAGAGGTTGGCCACAGAATCTCTTGCTGCACAGAGCAGAATCACCATGGTAACCAGAAAATACAATTAAAAAAGGCAAGTGAAGTAGAAACAGATGAGTAGGCAGCTCCTTACCTTTGGACAGAAGGAAGTGAAATAATTATGCAGGAAAGAAAATGGTATATGACAAATATGGTTATTCATTGGAGACGGGAAGTATCTTTTCATTAAAGAAGGAATGTACCACTTTTATCTCAAAGGAAGGGGAGTGCCATGACATTTGTTGAGGAAACCATCTGCTTAAGATTGTATTTTTCCTTATTTTTAGTTTGTTAGACGTCGACACTTATTGTCCAGACTGATTGTACTTTTACCTGTTTTAAAACCTGGACACAATATTTCTGAGAAAGGTAATATAAAGAGAGAGAAAGGGAGTATCTCCACCTTTGGCAAACACCTACCATGGGATGTCGGCAAAGTGCGGAGGAGAAAGAGGCTGCAAGGCGCTCGCGCAGGATTGACAGACACCTGCGCTCGGAAAGCCAGCGCCAGCGTCGGGAAATCAAACTTTTGCTACTTGGGACCAGCAACTCTGGCAAAAGCACCATTGTAAAACAGATGAAGATCATCCACAGTGGAGGTTTCAACCTGGAGGCATGCAAAGAATATAAACCCCTCATTATTTATAATGCAATTGACTCACTCACACGCATCATAAGGGCACTTGCCACATTGAAGATTGAGTTTCACAACCCAGATCGAGCGTATGATGCAGTACAGCTCTTTGCTTTGACTGGGCCAGCAGAGAGTAAGGGAGAAATTACATCTGAGCTCCTAGGAGTCATGAAGAGACTGTGGGCAGACTCGGGCGTTCAGGAGTGTTTCAGTCGCTCTAATGAGTACCACCTGGAAGACAATGCTGCTTATTACCTCAATGACCTGGACAGGATAGCAGCCATTGAGTATATCCCCACTGTAGAAGATATCCTACGCTCACGAGATATGACTACAGGCATTGTGGAGAACAAGTTCACCTTTAAAGAGCTAACTTTCAAAATGGTCGATGTTGGGGGTCAGAGATCAGAAAGGAAGAAGTGGATTCATTGCTTTGAAGGTGTGACAGCCATAATATTCTGTGTGGAACTCAGTGGATATGACTTGAAGCTTTATGAGGACAACCAAACAGTAAGTGCAAAACTCATCTCAGGGAATGTTTAAATTTTTTATACTTCTGTTTAAAGTAGGGATCGGTTAGAACCCCTTTCAGTTTTTAGGGTTGATTGATCTCTGATGGAAGATTTCCCTAACTTCCTGTACTGGTAACTACAGGACGTGGAGGCAGTTTCCCCAGTGGGAATGTTGGCATTTGTATGAACATAACAGGGGTTCTAATGCATCTCTCCTCCATTAAAAATAAGTGCTTTTATTGCTGTTAGTGTCCTCATTGATACAATCTTAAGTCTTGGTGACCACTGTCACTTGGTGTGAGATAAGGAAAACCCCTCACTGAGAAGGACATAGTGATAAACAATCTGACAGGTTGCAGTCCTTCCCATTGGAGCCCTTTGGCTGGATGGCACTTTGGGCTTAGATAACAAAGAAATTGTAACAGATGCACACATTCTGGACATAGACACAAGCAGCTCTACTAGTCTGTATGTCCCATAACTAAACCAGAGAGTACTAACTGTACCAATGGTGCTGTTCAGCTCTTATCTATGCATGTAAGAATGTGCACACTTCATATATTCATAAGTCAAGGGCAGATAGCACCACCAGTTTGCTCAGTAGAATAAACATTGTCTAAAGAGACTAGGTGAAGTATATTTGAGAAGAGAACACATTCTCGATGTCAAGCCTTCTATGCTAAAATAGCTAAAGTTCCAACACTACCCCCACAAACTAGTATTTTGCAACTATTTTCAATTCTCAGTTTCAAAGCAGGTTGTAGGCCTCATTAATCAATTTGTATGAAGGAAAATTGGCTCAGACTGCCTGTGTTACCCTTCAACAACCTACCAGAGATGCCTTTTACAGTATGGGGAAATGAAAACAATACTGTGGTAGGCTACCTTCGATATTTCCACTTCTCAGTTCCACAGCAGGGTATATACCTTATTAATCAATTTGTATGAAGAAAAATTGGCTCAGACTGCCTGTGTTACCCATAAACAACTTATCACAGTGGCTAGCACTTCTGCCTAGCAGCGCTAGAGCAGTGGGTTCAAATCCCAACTACATCATTACCTACATAGACTTTGCATGTTTTCCTTCGTGGGTTTCTTCCTACATTCAGAAAGTGTGCTGGAAGGTTAATTGGCTCCTGTCTAAATTGGCCCTAGTATGTATACGTATGTATGAATGTGAGTTAGAGACCTTAGATTATACACTCCTTGAGGGTTAGGAACTGATGTAAATGTACAATATCTGTAAAGCACTGCGTAATTTGACAGTGCTATATAAGTGCCTGTAATAAATAATCAGAGGCACCTTTTACAGTATGGGAGAATTAAAGAATACCATGGTAGGCTGTTTAGAGCAGTGGTCTCCAAACTGTGGCCCTTTGCTTGCCTTTATCGGGCCCTTGGGACACTATTCCTCTCTCACTGCTACAAGACACAATTCTGCTAGATGACATCAATAATGGGGCACCATATCTCCCACTGATATCAACAATGGAACACTATTCCTCCCAATGATACCAATTATGGGGCACTATTCCTCCCACTGACACCAATGATGGGGCTCTAGTCCTCCCACTGATACCAATTATGGGGCACTACTCCTACCAATGATACCAATTATGGGGCACTAGTCTTCCCACTGCCGCCAATTATGGGGCACTAGTCCTCCCACTGACACCAATTATGGGGCACTAGTCCTCCCACTCTGGCCAATTAAGGGGCACTAGTCTTCCCACTGACGCAATGATGGGCACTCTTCATCCCCATGATAACAATTATGGGGAACAATTTCTCTCCCTTATACCAAATGTGGCAATGTTTATTACCACTGATTTCAGGAAAATGTCCACTCCCGCTGGTTACAGTCTGCCCCCCCTAAAGTCTGAAGGACAATAAAGTGGCTCTTTATTTACAAAGTTTGAAGACCCTTGGTTTAGAGGAACCACAAACTACATCACATTTTTATCAAGACACTTTGATTAATGAGGGCTAGCGTTAAAAACTGGTATGTGATCAATTAAGACACAGGGGTTTTTTTTTAGAGAATATGTACATGCTGTGTTCATACACCTTCACAGATTGCTAAGGGTATGTTCACACCATGGTGCAGAGACATCAGTTTTGCTGCACGTGTTCTGCAAGGGCACAACAAGATCAATTATTCTCTATGTGCACTATTCACACCACAACACTAGTATCCATGCAGGAACCTGTAACGTGTATGAAACTAATTGAAGCACTCATGAAGACTAATGTAAACTGATGTCTCAGCAAGTGAAATCTGTTCATCAGTTTCCATCAGTTTTTCTGCACGTATGGTGTGAACGAGGCCTAAAGGAGAGCTCACAGCATAAATTGAACCGCTGTCCTATAGTTTCAGAAGCCAGTCTGTAGTTTTCTCTGGATGCACCATATGCACAAAGAAAGAATATTCCACATATTTTTTGGCCTGCAGCAGGAAATGAAGCTTGTTTCAGATAATGTCCAGCCTCTGTGGTTTCCAGGCAACATTCTGTGACAAGCAATGTACTTCTATCCAACAGTGAACCCTCCCCCATAAACAATTAAAAACTGATCCTCGGCTGAAGGTAGATCATTGATAAAACTGGAACCTTCAACATCTGGCTGCTGTAGCCCAAAATTACAAAATACAGCATATTCATGTAACCTGATATTGTGATTTGCTGGTAACTTTTATCCCGAATGGAGTTCTCCTTTAAATTATGTTAAAAATACAGGCTTCTCAGAGGCATGCTATATAGAATATGATTCTTTATGCACAGGAAACACAAATAGCTTTTCATACTGAACATAACATTGCTAACATGCTTGTACACTTTAATACTAAAGCAGAATGCAGATTTTGTCAATGTCAGAACCAATAAGAAATTTGTTGTATGCAGAAAAAATATATCACCTCAGGATCGAAACTTTATTTCTTGTTTACTTAGTATTTAACCGCTTCCTGACCGCCCTATAGCAGAAACACTGCTACAGGGCGGCATGGGTGCACAAAATCAGATATAGACGTGATTTTGCATTTCTGGGTAGGGGGGCGCGCGTGAGACATTCGCGGCCATGACTGTCAATCATCGGGTCCCGGCCGGTGATTACTCACCGGCGCCCAGTGATTGCTGAGCATCTCCGACAGGAAGGAGAACTGTTTGTAAACAAAACAGTTCTCCCTGTCAGCTTGTGCACACTGCTTTACATGGCTGTGCACAGCACAGCTATGCAAAGCAGTGTGCTTACAGTGAAGCACACAGACACAGCACATAGTAAAACTGCACACAGTTAACCCTTTGACCACCTCTCATGTTAACCCCTTCCTGTCCAGTGCCATTAGTACAGTGTCAGTGCTTTTTTTTTGCTTTTGGCACTGATCACTGTATTGGTGTCACTGGGGATGTCAGTGACACCAAGTCAGTTCCCCCCAGTGTCAGAATGCCCGCCGCAGTCCCGCTATAAGTCGCTGATCGCCGCCATTACTAGTAAAAATAAAAAATTCTAGTATATATATTGACATTTGTAAACGCTATAACTTTCACGTAAACCAATTCATTTACACATATTGGGATTTTTATTTAGCAAAGACATGTAGCAGAATACATTTGGCCTAACTTTATGACGAAATTTGATTTTATAAAATTTTCTTGTTTAATAGCAAAAAGTCAAAAATATAGTTTTTTTTCTCAATATTGTTGGTCTTTTTTTTTTTTTGTTATACTGCAAAAAATAAAATAGGCACAGGCAATCAAATACCACCGAAAGAAAGCTCAATTCGTGGGAAAAAAAGTACGTAAATATAATTTTGGTGCAGCATTGCATGACCGCGCAATTATCAGTTAAAGTAATGCAGCTCCGTAGCGCAAAACAATGGCCTGGTCAGGAAAGGAGGTAAATCCTCTGTAGGGTAAGAGGTTAATGCAGTCAGTACAGCAGAACTACTGATTGTAAGCTCCAAGGATCAGGCCCTCCTATCCCTCTTGTATTGAACTGTATTGTTGCTGTATTGTCTCCCGTTATATTGTAAAGCTCTGAGCAAACTGTTGGCGCTATATAAATCCTGTATAATAATAATAATGATAATAATAATTATTTTCCTCTCCAAAGCATCCCTGTAAATAAAGCCTAGCACGAGCCATCTTTTTTCTTTCTTAGGCCTAGTTCACATCTGGCCTTTTGGGATCTTGGAAAGAACTGCGATTCACCTGCGATCTCAAATCACCGTGCAATAGTGGCAAAACAAGCCATGTGTGTTTGGGTGCTATTTATTTTAAAATGGCACCTAAAAGCGGCAAACCGCATTATGCAAAGCTTTTGCCCAAAAAAGGGGAAAGGCTTCTTCTGGGCACCGAGCTTGCCAAAGCGGTTTTTAAGATTGCAGCGCAATTTATCATGCAACAGTCATGGCAGAACTGCACCGCGTTTAAGTGCCATTGAAAATAAATTGCACTAAACATGCCTGGTGCATTTTGCCACTATTACAGTGCGATTTGAGATCCCAGAGAGAATCACAGTGATCCCAAAACACAGTATGTGAACGGGCCTATAGTGGAGACGGGTTAGAGCCTCAATCAGTTCTATATTTCAGAATGTGTGTCTAATAGGAATATTTCCCTTCACTTCCTATTGAGACGGGCAAAAATACATTCTGGGGAATTAAAAAAAAAGTGTCTATGAGACTCTTTAGAAGGCATTCTGCCTGTCTCTGTATGCTACTCCTAATTATCTACAAACCGGAGTTAATTTTATTTTAATTTGGTACAACCATGCTGTCAGTTTATAAAACTACCTGATTCTGTCACACATATCAATAAAGCTACCAAAAACTGGTGGCAGGGCTTAATTGAATCTGGCGCAGAGCTTTTTAAAGGACTATACCACCAGAAAGGTGTGACAAATGCTTTGTTGAATTCCCACATTGTCAGTAGAAAGGGTAAGAGCTAGTACTTTAAGCAATGTTTTTTTTCTCCATGCTTTCATCTTTCAGTAACCACTGCATCCCTCATTCCTTGCACGGGTGTCCCAGGGACAGAAAGTCTCCCCAATGGGAGTAATAAAAACTAAACCGACATTTTAAGTCTTTTCCAAGCAGTGGCAGACAGAAGCCAAACATGGTATGTGACATTCATGTTATCATATGGCAGATCCTTTACTTCCTCCATTTGATGGGTTTGGAACTATGAGCCAAGAGCATCCTTTAAAGCGGAGCTCCAGTCCCCCTAATAAATGTTTGGTAAAATCAGATCCATGATGACCTTTCAAATAGCATTAACAATTGGAATAATTCAATAGTAAAAGCATTGTAATTACTTAGTAATTTTTTAAAATTTACCATGATCTCGGAAGCAGGCAGACGCCATGAAGGCTGTGGGCATCTGAAGCCCGCAGGTATGTATTTCCGGGAATCAGTGCTGCTGGTTATCCTAGCATGCACCACTCGTTCTCGTGCCTGCGCAGTACAGACACTGTTCGGCGCGACGTGTGTAGTACAGATTGCCATAACAATGGTGGGAACGGCTGAAGTTCCTGCCCCCCACCCCCGTCAGTCAACCTGTACATCACTTTACTCACAGAAAGATAGCCCATCAAGAGTCACCACATCCAATTAAAAATCGATTACCACAGAAAATATAGTTACCAAAGTAGACACATTAAATAGACAGAGTGAGATATACACACTATGCAATTCCAGCATAGAGTACAGCATAGGACGCAACAGGATACGGCATCCACGTCTTCCTGTAATCTGGACACCCGGTAAAATGGCGCAAAACACCTCCCATTCGCGTCATTTCCGGTTTCCATGTCCCACGATTACAGGAAACCAAAGGACTCCTGGGATACAGGAAACGACATCCCAAGAGACCTTGCAAATCGCCTTATGACGTCATCGCGTAGGTGGCCAGGACCGGAACTGCAGGCTTGCAGTTGATTTAAAGGTATATATATATATATATATAAAAAATAAAAATATCCAACTTGTTCATTATTTCACAGGGACAACATAATCAGGTAAAGTATGAAAAATGGGTGGAACTCTGCTTTAAGTGTCCATCTGAACATTGCCTGAATATTAAAAAGTGACATTTTGCTCCTCCAACAGCAGGCCATACATTTACTTTCATTAGTCTAATTAGTCAGGTGCTACAGATCAAAGTTAGACACTGCACAAATGCATGTCTCTTGGTAAATAACACCGGTTGCTATTTTCAGTGTATTTAAATGATAAATAAGAACTAGACATAGTTGAAATCGTTACTGAGTATCTAGGACACGCTGCACATAAATCGATTCAGATTGATTTGCATTGGCTTGAATCAATACAAAATCACAGTAGGAGATTATTATAATTTTTGACCACTCTTCCCCTGCAGCAAAGGCTTTTCTTTAATAGAAACAAATTGATATTACAAACATTACATTACAGCAATTTATTATGACAGCAAATTTTGCCATTTTGCAGCATAACATAGTGTGTTTTATGTAACTTATATGTAATGTAATATATCGCTATACTTTGCTGTAAATCATAGTATATGAGGAAAAGGAGGGTCAGGTTTCTCTGAGTGTATGTAGTCAATCGATAAAAAGATAGTTTCTACAGTGCGGCTGCATCAGCCACAATGTCTTTATTAACTAAGGTAAATTATCTATTCTGCAACATGCAGCTTCTGTGAAGTACTGCCAAGTCACATACAAAATATATTACCATATTTTCTTCTTTTGATGGATCTGAACTAACGGATAACATCCAATCAACAGCATGTTAGTTTGTCAGTAGCTGACATAATTTTGCATTCAACAGAATGACAGAAAATCAATGACCTTTTTTGAAGGTCTGTATCAAGGACAGTGTGCTTGGGGCATAGCACAAATGTCACCAGTGCCAC